AAAGCAATTTTTCAAATGGTTCAATTCACCAGGGATATAAATGAACTCTAAATTTGTAAGCACCTAATATTTCCTCAAACTCTATAAATACTGATATAACTAGAATAAGCAAATACAAAATCATAGTGAGATATTTTAACTGATCTCTCTCATAAATACTCGGCAAAAACTCAGTAAAAATATATAAATTTAAACAACTCAACAGAATTGATCTAATGAACATATATAGAACACTATGTTAACTGCATAATATGGATTTTTTTCATATGCACACTGAATATTTATAACACTTGACCATATTGTGTCATAAAAACAAGCCTCACAAATTTGAAACAACTGAAATCATATAGTTATGTTCTCTGAATGCCATGCAGTCTAGAAATCAACAATAAGAAAATCCACATGTATTTGGAAAATGAATATACTTCTAAATAATCAGCAAGTCACACAAAAAGAAAAATGGGGATTAGAAAATACTTTTTACTGAAAGGTGATGAAAAGACTTCATCTCTGAATTATGGGATGCAGATGAATATTGTTATTATAAGGGCTAAAGTTGACAGCTAAGCAACCATCACAAAATTGGAAGGGGAAAATAAGACCAAATAAAGTAGAAGGAAGCTAATAATAGGGATGGAAGGAAATGCAGAACACAAAGACACAGTGGAGAATCAAAAAAGCCAAAAACTAATTCTTTGTAAAGATCAATACAATTGAAAAACCTCTGTGAGACTAATTAAGAAAGCAGAGGAGGCATTGACTAATACCAAGAATGAAAAGAGGGCATCAATACAAATCCTGCAACATTAATAAACTCCTAACACATCAATTACTTTATAGAAATAACATTTAAAATGCAGATGGACATATTCCTAGAAATACAACTCTTTAAAATGGAGACAATACAATAAAAATCTGAGTATTACTCTAGCTGTTAATGAAATCCACACCTCAAAGAAAATATCTGATATATGTCACTGCCCAAATTCTTATCAAATTTTTAAGTAAGAAATAATGACAATAATGACAATCTTACCTGTGTTATAAGGTCAGAGAATCTTGGTAACAAAGCCTGACACAGACCTTAAAAGAAATTTATGGGCCAATCCCATTGATAAAATAGATGTAAAAATCCCAAATGAAATACTGGTAAATGAAATCCTGCAATATATTAAAATACATCATAATCAAATTGGGCTCATTCCAGGAATGTAAACTTTAGTTTAAAATGTGGAAATCGGGGTGCCTGGCTCAGTCGGTTGGGCGTCCAACTTCGGCTCAGGTCATGATCTCACGGTCCGTGAGTTCGAGCCCCGCGTTAGGCTCTGTGCTGACAGCTTAGAGCCTGAAGCCACTTCAGATTCTGTGTCTTCCTCTCTCTCTGACCCTCCCCCGTTCATGCTCTGTCTCTCTCTGTCTCAAAAATAAATACAAATTAAAAAAAATTTTTTTTAATGTGGAAATCAATTGATATAACTTACCAAATGAGAAAAACCTTAGCAAAATGCAGGAAAGTAATTAAACTCAGCATCCTTTCATGATTTAAAAAAAAAAAAAAAATCCCTTGGGAATTGAAGCACGCTTCATTAATCTGGTAAAAGATCCAGATTCCAGAGCATAAACCATACTGAATATTGAAATCTTTCCCTTTGGGGCGCCTGGGTCGCTCAGTCAGTTGAGCATCCGACTTCGGCTC